AATTTAGACAATTGTGCAAATTTTTAATTATTGAGATGAAAATATGTACAAATTTTTTTACTTTCTGAATTTTAAAGCACTTTTCACGATCTTTTGAAAAGTGTAATTCTTTAATCCGTGAACCTGGATTTATAAATATTGCAAATCAGAAGAATAACAACAAATTTGCTTTACATATTACTATAGGTCTATGTGATTAGACCTTTATTCAGTAGTTAATTATCCAATGAGACAGAAATAGAGCTAAATTATACTATGTACATTCACTCAAAAAAGTCTCCGTACACCTCGTTATAATTTATCCAGCGTTGTATAATTTCAACAAAGAAGGTAGTAAATAAATAATATTTACGGTAGTTACTTAGAACTATAACAATTATTATTATTTTAAAAAATCGTTTCAGCATCACGTGTTCCCTTCGATACCGTGCAATTTCTATACAAAACAGTTTTTTTTTTGTAGAAGACATAGAAAACAGAAGGTAGTAAATAAATAATATTTACGTTAGTTACTTAGAACTATAACAATTACTATTATTTTAAAAAATCGTTTCAGCATCAGGTGTTCCCTTCAATACCGTGCAATTTCTATATAAAACAGTTTTTTTGTTTTTTGTAAAAAACATACTTCGGAAGTTATTCGGTGTTATGTGACTCACCTAATATAGTATACACGACAACATTTGTAGCGTCATAAACTTTGAACATATTGTATGCACAGCAGTCTTGCCGCCTGATGTCTCTCGCTAGTTCAATGGAGAAATTTGTGATGATCAAGGTGGTATATTACAATAACTGCTCTTGTTGTGTACCTGCTACGTAACAATTTCATTATAAATGTAATAGATGTGTTAGATGCATTGGTTTAGATGCTGCAGGTGTTTGTTGAAATTGCACGGTGTCGAGGGGAGCATACGATGCTGAAACGGGTGTAGCTTCCCGTGGACCGCAATTCTTTCGAAGAATTTCGCGAGGTCGTAAATCCCGCTTACACTCTAGGTGACGGTACATGTCGCGTCGCGTTCTTTTGCGTTGTTCAAAGCTCGCGGTCGCTCTGTTACCCGCCAAATTAATTTTGGGTAACTAGTTCAAATTTGTTTTGCTGATACGTAGCAAAACGTAGAGTGCGTCACAAAATGATTGACGACTTGTTTTAAATAACTCGAGTGTTTGATCGCAACTCGAAATGTGCGTGATGTCTCCTCGAACGGCTGGAGATCTAATAGTGTTCGCTCGATAGAACCTTTTCGAATCTGTCGCTCGATCGCCGAATTTTTCTGGAGTCCGCAGTGACTCCCCCGCCAAGCACAAGAAGGCACGCTGATTGGTTTTTCACGTACGCACAAATTACCAATCAACGTGCCCCTTGAGTGTCACCCACCCTTCCATTGCGCCCTTAGCGCGCTTTTCCTTGGAAGGAGTGGAGCCCTACCTGCGGGTGCGTGGAATCTTCGCTGTCCTTCGGTGACGCGTCGGAAATTCCCGCCAGGTCAACCCTCGGCCGAGAGTGCCGTTATACGCGCGTGTGGATTGACCCTTCAGGAATACCTGATTTATGACACGTCTTCGGTTATTGAGGACGCGGAAAAGTCGAAATTCTAAAGGTATTGTTCTGTAAGAAATTACTTATTTTTTCGCGGAGCAACGAAGCGTCTTTGTTCTCAAAAATAACCTTCTCGTGCGAGCGTGCCATAAACCCGGTCAACGAAGACTACACGCGTTCCGTACCTGCGCGACGGAACATGCTCCCCCCGTTGAGAGGTGCTACCGATCAAAATACATAGAACGCAAAACCACTCGGACGCTTGTGGTCCATTGATCGGCCTTAGTGTCTTTATACGTGAATCCCTGATCATCAACGCCTATGTTGAACCTTGGTCAGGAAGGGGTGCCAGCTGCTTCACGTTGCGTGTGTAAACGCCGTTTATGGCCCGTATGGTGACTGCTCGAATAATCCCGTCTGCGCCCAGACGCTTGTGGTCCATTGATCGGCCTTAGTGTCTTTATACGTGAATCCCTGATCATCAACGCCTTTGTTGAACCTTGGTCAGGAAGGGGTGCCAGCTGCTTCACGTTGCGTGTGTAAACGCCGTTTATGGTCCGTACGGTGACTGCTCGAATGATCCCGTCTGCGCCCGGATGAATCTCCTCGACTCGCCCCAGATGCCAGAACAGTGGTGGGAGATTGTTCTCCTTGAGGACGACCACTGTTCCTTCCTTGATGTCGTGTGAGCCCTTGGTCCATTTTTATCGCACGTTCAGATGGTTGATGTACTCCTTGTACCATCTCGACCAGAAATCTCGCTTCACCTTCTGTATCTCCTGCCAATTTGATAGTCGATTGGCTGGTGTGCTGAAATCACTCTGAAGTACGCTCGTTAAAGAATCACCAATCAAAAAGTGACCCGGAGTCAATGCGGAAGGATCGTTGGCATCTGAGGAGAGGGGGGATAGCGGACGGGAATTGAGGATTGCTTTGACTTCAATGACAAAAGTGTTGAATTGTTCGAACGTAAACAATTCTTCGCCAACAACGCGTTTCACGTGGTGTTTGAAAGATTTCACGGCAGCCTCCCAAAGTCCTCCGAAATGAGGTGACAAGGCAGGGATGAAGTGCCACGTGATTTCCTTGTCCGTAAGGAATCTTCGTATCTTGTCGTCCTCCTGGTGTACCAAAGTCCTCCGAAATGAGGTGACAAGGCAGGGATGAAGTGCCACGTGATTTCCTTGTCCGTAAAGAATCTTTGTATCTTGTCGTCCTCCTGGAGCGCCTAGTGTATCTCCGTCAAGTCGTTATTCGCGCCAACGAAATTCGTGCCGTTGTCGGAATAAATGTTGCGGCATAGACCTCGTCGAGCGATGAAGCGTTTTAAGGCCGCGATGAAGGCCTCTGTGGTCATGTCGCTTACAACCTCGAGATGAATCGCTTTCGTAGCGAGGCAGATAAAGACGACGACGTAGACTTTAACGCGCACGCGATTGCGCCGTTCTTTTACGTGAAATGGGCCGCAGTAGTCTATTCTGCTGTTGTGGAATGGTCGGCTATCGGTGACGCGAGCTGCAGGTAAATTACGTACTCTACCGTAGATGGATCCACTCGGAAGCATCTGGCGCACTGTCGCACGATTTTACGCGTTGCATTTTTCCCGTCGATAGGCCAGTACGTTTGTCTAACGTCATTGAGGGTAGAGGTTATGCCTGCGTGTTGATTATTAATGTGCGGGTCTCGAATAATCAACGTGGTCAGATGGTGGTTTCGTGGCAAAAGTATCGGATGCTTTTGAGCGTAAGGCAGTGAGGAATTTTGAAGTCGTCCTCCGACGCGTAGAATTCCCTTGCTGTCGATAAACGGATCGAGCGGACGAAGTTTGCTGTTTGAATGTAATGTGGTTCCCTGTAATGTAAGGGTCGGGCGGCCGGCATACCTGTCGAGGATTAAACATACCGCCCGCCTTGAACGGCTGGCGTTCAACACGAGAAAAAGCAAGAGACATACAAGTTCATACGATACGGCAAGAGACGACAATGACAATGAATAGTAGCGAGTTCTAAGAGACTATTGATACGCTAAAGTATTGAAGGCTAATTAACTATGCTAACTTAAGCCTATCTTATACAAAATAATATTTACATATGTACACGAGATATGATATATACAAGTCTGACAAAATTAAGTGGAAGAATGATTCGCATCCTCTGCATCTGGCAGGACGCAAATCTTCTTGACTGGCCTCTTGAGTGTTCCATGGGCCCTTCGTACGGAGACCACTCTGGTGACTCCATCAGGTCCAGGGTGCAGATCGATGATGCGCCCTAATCGCCATTGCAGTGGCGGTAGGTTGTCTTCTCTTAAGAGAATCATGGCGCCTATCTGGATCAAATCTGGTGGGTCGGTCCGCTACTTGTGTCGTTGTTGCAGCCCGTGGAGGTATTCCCGCTGCCACCTCTTCCAGAAGTGTTGTATGGTTTTCTGCACCAGTTGATACCTGTTTAATCTGGTCTCAGTTACATTAGTTAGATCCGGTTGTGGGAGTGCCATCAACGCATCTCCGATGAGGAAGTGACCGGGCGTGAGGGGGTTCAGGTCGTTGGGATCAGTGGATATGGGGTGCAGAGGACGGGAGTTGAGGCAGGCTTCACCTTGCGTTAATATGGTGCATAACTCCTCATACGTGAGCCTCTGCTCGCCGACGACCTTCTTCAAGTGGGTTTTTACAGATCGCACCCCCCTCTCCCATAGGCCGCCAAAATGCGGAGCGCTTGGCGGTATTAAGTGCCAAGCGATGCGCTCCTGCGCCAACGTGTCTATAATGCGATAGCACGCAACACGCACACGCAGGGACAACTGCAGCCGCGAGCACCGTGGCCAACAGGCACCACGCGAGGAGCCACGAGCACAGTCCGCCTGACACGAAGCGCAGGATACACAAATGCCAATTTCCGGGTTGCAAGAAAGTCTACACGAAGAGTTCGCATCTGAAGGCACATCAGAGGACGCATACGGGTGAGTGGCCTATCGTAACTGTTCCTCCATCGCGCCGTATACCGGTTGCGCTAGGCGCTCGATTAGCCAGCGATTAGAGAGTTCAAGGGAGAATTTAATGGGGCAAAAAGTTTCGGACGGGAACTGAGAGACGATCGATGGGGTCGAGAGCATAGCCGAGCGTTAGAAAACCAACTGTCTGACTCTACATACTTCGATTAACATTCCCCGGAGAGTTTCTTCAACGTTTACCTTCGTTCCCATTTTTTTCTTCTTCTATTCCTATCGTTGCTTGCCTATTAGCCATTGAGAAAAGTCACATTCCCATTGCGCGGAACTACGAAGACGATTTCTATGGATCTGACATGACTGGCGGCGGAACTGACGTCCACAGACGTACCGCGAACATTCATCACTCTTTTCCGCAATTAAGGTAACTCGTGTACGAATTATCGAACACGCCAACCTCCGGCCATTAATACACGTTACGGTTGGCGTCTGTCTCCTTCAACGGTATCGTTCCACGTTCAAGTCCGATAATTTCGCCGCGAGCTTCACGCGACACCGCTCCCGCGCCCCCTTTCTTCGCGATTCAGTTAATCGTTAGTCACGCGATTATCCAGGGCGAAACGGACGTATACCGCGTGCAACTACGGGGACAAATTCCGCCACGCGGTTCCCCCCCATTGCCACCGCGGCGAATAACAATGCATAATTAATTACGAGGCTGAATTAAGGGAGCCTGTTCGACTTGTACAGCGACCCCGCCGAGTGTACTCGAACGGTGGATGAATGCGAGGCCCACGTGCGCGAAACCGGATGATGCATGTTTAATGGCGTCGAACCACTCTCTCTCTCTCTGCTACGTGTGTTTTCTTCGATCGATAGAAGGGACAGTCGTTCTTTGCCCACCACCGCTCGACAACTTAAGTTTCGCTTATCTCCTGATGAGAATGTAATGGGATATTTAGCCGCGCGGCGAGCATGTTCGGTTAATCTCTTTTCGATCTAGTCTTCTCTATAATAGAGACCACCTAACCAGTTGAATCGTCGAGGATGGCTTTGTAAATAAATGGGCGAGGGAATAGTTGCGTTATGGTCGGCAATTCTCAGGGTATTTCTTTAAGAATTTGAGAAAAGTGATCTGGTTTGGGTTATTAATGTGTGTGTAGATTTTTTAGCTGATGTGTATTTAGTCTGACGTTGAGAAATAATGTTGTCTAGGCTTGAGCAATTTAACAATTTGTAGTGTGAAAGAGAGTCTTTCGTGTATGCTCACTTCAAACGTCAACGTTAATGACGATTGAATATTTGTTGAAATTGGATACTGGAAGGTGGTGAAAGAATGATGTCACGAGTATACATAACACTTAAACTTTAAATTTATTCTACAACTGTTGAATTAGAAAAAACGCGTTAGACTGGTGATAATAATTTCTGTGTTGAATAGCTGATAGTTTTTTAGAATCTCGTCTTCCTTTGAAGGAATTCGTGCTTAAATAATAAGTGCGGTCATGTGAAAATGGGAATGACGATGTCTGATTGGTGGTTTTAATTTGGTAGGGGAAGCCGCCGTGACCCTCAGGTACTGCAAGTACCTTCGAGTGGCATGTGTCGGATTTTCCCCATGCCTTAACCGTAGCAGGTAATATTTTATTAGTTGCCCTGACTCGGCCAAGGTAAATGAAAATTAACACGGCCGAGGTAAAATTCTTAATCCTACTACAAAAGCGGCAATCGTCGCTATACATTCAAAGAAGGTGAAATATGCACAATGGTTTTACTTATAATTAGTTTTACGCCTTAACAGTCGTTGTCTCTCAAGGCAGAAGCAGCGATCCCCCGCGATACAAGGTCCGCAGAATTATCGGCAGATCTTACATGATGCCAATTTTCAATTTTGGTGAGACTCTGTGTCTCCGAAACGCGATTCGCGAGGAACGTTTTCCATCGACTCGGTTGAGCCCTTAGCCAGGCCAAGACAATCGTTGAATCAGTCCAATTTGGCTTTTCTGACGCGAGGCATTGCATTTCATCATGAAAATGACATTTTTGGGCGACTCTGATGACAGTTCGCTCTGCCCTTCTCGTCGGCGGATGGGGGATGGTGATCGGAGGGATCACCGCGACTTCCCTGTAGCGATCCCCTGGCCCGCGCGTTATCCACGAATCTAAAGCAGTAAGTTACTATCCGAAGCAATTTTTCATAGGACGAGTAACGAGAGGCTAAATTGAAATCACTCAAGGCCGCGGCGCTAGCCGGGCCTGCGTGAGTCGCGGCCGCCCGTTTTTCTTCGGGTATTTCCACCGAGGTTGTTGGCCTTGAAGCTGGCCAATCGTCGCAATTCTGCGACAACCACTGCGGCCCGTGCCACCAAAGGTCGCTGTCTCTCAAGGCAGAAACAGCGATCCCCCGCGATACAATGTCCGCAGGATTATCGGCAGATCTTACGTGATGCCAGGTCTCAATTTTGGTGAGACTCTGTGTCTCCGAAACGCGATTCGCGACGAACGTTTTCCATCGACTCGGTTGAGCCCTTAGCCAGGCCAAGACAATCGTTGAATCAGTCCAACAATGTTTGCGCGCGGACTCGATCTGTAGCGCTTCCTTCACATTTGAGACAAGTCGCGCCAGTAAAGGAGCACCAGACAGTTCTAATCGCGGCAGTGACAGCGATTTCAACGGCGCTACGCGGGATTTGGCACACAATAATCGCGTCGACCACGCCCCCTCGACCGTTTTCGACCGCAGGTATACCGCGGCCCCAAAGGCTTGTTCCGATGCGTCAGAGAAGCCATGCAATTCTATTTCCCTCGGATTGTTTAGTACCATGCGCCGCGGAATGACCACCAATGGAACCTGCTTCAGTTCAGCACGAAAGTCGTTCCATTACGTGTGCATCTCCTGGGATAGGGTTTCGTCCCATCCCACATCTAATTGCCAGAGTCGCTTCATGATGAATTTTGCTCGGATCACGATGGAGCTAATGAGACCAAGCGGGTCGAATATTTGCACGATTTCCGACAGAATAGTGCGCTTCGTAACCTTGTTCGTCCTATTGTCTCTGAGCGAGTATCGTAGTTCATCTGCTTCGGCGGTCCAACAGATGCCTAACGTTTTCGGATCCTTTCCAGTATCCGCGATTTCGAATCTAGCCGGTGTTCCGTTACGATCGCTGCCGAGCGCCCCTATGTGGTTACTAGCCCATTTTCGCAATGGCATTCCGGCACTGCACAAGACCTCGGTTAATGATGCCTTTAATTTTACGGCCCCTTCTAAACTATCGCATCCCGTGAGCAGGTCATCCACATAGAAGTCGTGAATGATCGCACGACCAGCGAGCGGATGCGATTGGATGCAATCTTCTCCGATTTTCTTAAGCACACGCGTTGCTAGAAACGATGCCAACGCGGTGCCGTACGTTGTGGTATTCAAGTCATAAACGCTAATTGGGTCATTGACATTTGAACGCCAGAGTATCCGCTGAAATCTACGATGTTCCTCTCGCACGCGAATCTGTCGGTACATTTTTTCTGTGTCTGCCGACAAGACATACCGATGCTTGCGAAATCTAAGTAAAATACTGACGAGATCACTCTGTACAGGCGTGTCTACTAGCTGCGCGTCATTTAACGAGATCCCCGAGGAGGTCTTGGCAGATCCGTCAAATACTATCCGAAGCTTGGTCGTTGTACTGGACTCCAAGGCACGAACATGATTTGTAGCGGTATCTATCAATTGACTAAGAAGTGCACCGTCCGGTTTCCGGACAGCTTCAATGTCTAACAGGGCGTTAATGTGATGGTCGACTAATGACCTTGGATTTTCATAACGCTCTCTTAAACGTGCCCATGCGAGCGCGTAGTTCGCCGCTGAGACGCTTAGGGATTCTAACATTCGCGCCGCTGGACCCGTGAGGGAGGAATTTAAATGATTAAAACGATCGATGTCAACTGATCTGAATCGTGTACTAACGATGTGAAGGTATCCCGGAAGCGTATCCATTGCCCAAGGTCGCCGTTGAACGTGGGCAATTTTATGACTGGAAGACGTGTCGAGGGGGACGAATCCGTTACCGTTGGCGTTGTGGTAACCGCGGGAGACGCTGTCGAAGATCGCGAACCCTGAAACCTGTGATAACCGTTTTTCGGCGGACGACATTGCGCGGAAGTATGTGTCCTCGAAGGTCTCGCGCTCTAATAAGTGTGTTGCCTTGTTATCTGTACCTATTACAATTGCCTCTATCTGCGATTGAATCCTATCGAATCTACTGTATAAAGGCTCGTACGCCTTTACCTGTTTTTCAAATGCAACATAGTCGTCTTCTACTACTGTTGTTTCCACGAATTTTTTAAGCATTGTTAACTTGGCTTTGGCCGACCCACGCTCCGCTACTAATGTTTTCAGTTGCGGATCCATTTTAGCTACTACGCAAGTTGAAGAGCAAGGAAAGGAAAGACTCACGTGAAAACAAAGGACTGGATCAGCGCTGAGGTATTGCCTCCTTCGGAACGTGTGGTTGGATTCTCCGTGACTGCTTACTGTCCCGTCCAGGGGGGTGCGAAGTTCAGATGGCTGGTGCGCACAGTCTCCTTCCTGGATGATTTTGGATCAATGTTCTAGAACGCAGCTCACCGCCAATGTTGAGTGATGCCGAGCGTCGAATGCCAGGTTACTCCGCAGGACTCAGAATCGTGGATGGGATGTCCCAATTTCAAACTGCTCTGCAGCGGGTTCGGCTTCCTTCTTCAGGACGTTGTGAATCCGGCTCGAAGGACCAATGTTAGGATATGCTCGTGGTAGTTGCAACCAACTTTCGAGCCTTGTCGATTTTAGCACGTGGTGTGCCGACTAAATTTACTAAGTTCGTTTCTCGAAGCACCACCTCCGTTTTTGGAGGACAAATTAATATTGACTAATCTCTGAAGAACTACTCGTAGGGTGGTCAGATGAATTCTGTGTATCGAGGGCTCGGACACTTTCCAAGACACCTCGAATACGAGCCTTCAGCGGGGGTAAGACACGCGGGTTGGTCAACTACATTTTCGAACTCGACAAGAAAGGTGGTTGAATTTAACGCGATTGGCAATTCTGTGTATCGAGGGCTCGGACACTTTCCAAGACACCTCGGATACGAGCCTTCAGGGGGGTGAGACACACGGGTTGGTCAATTACATTTTCGAACTCGACAAGAAAGGTGGTTGAATTTAACGCGATTGGAAATCATTAAGTCCCGAAAACTAACTAAGGTGACGCCTCCTTGTCAACGGTCACTCTCAAGTGCCCGTGCACCCCTAAGTGACGCG